ACCTGTCTTAAAGCTTTTCGGAATTTTCTTGAACTGGCAACATATAAATAGAAGTTAATAGCATGATTCTTAAACATGAGGAGTTCAGCAAAAGAAAACATTTTGTTGAACAGTTGACGATTAATATCCAGAGGATGAGAGAGAGTGTTCATCACCGCTGTCACACAAAGCATGCAGACCATGGGAAACGTAGTTATGACGAAAGTTAGCGACAAAATCACCATCATCACCGTCAATTTTCTTCTGACATTAGTCTTTTTCGTCAAGAAAGCCTTTACAGTTGCCAAGGAAATGTTCAGTTGGGAATTTCTCTTCATTCCTCGAATTTTACGTATAATTTCATAGTTGAAGATTCCTGTACTTAGAAATGGAATGACGAAGTACACCATCAAGTCCACGCAAGGCCAAATAAGGGTGATGTCTTTCTGTTGACCGCAGACGGTAGAATTATTTCCGTCCGTAATTAGACCAATTGTCCAGAATATGTGGAGGTTTATGAAAAAAATGAAAACAAGAATAAAAATAATGACTAATACGGCCTGTCGGATGCGACAAAGAGAAGTAGCATTTAGTGGATGGCACATTGTCATGAACCGCTCGAAGGTGACCGCCATTACCAACTAAACGGACGAATCACTGCAGACGTAGCCAAGAAATGTTAGAGTCTTACACGAGAAATTGGACAGGGAGTGGAGGTCAATTTCTAAAATCTCTCGAAGCCAGTTGACCAAAAGACCAAGATGGAGCACGCACTGGTCCAGTATACACAAAATCAAGAGGTACACGTAGGTGGACACACGGCGCGCAAAATGTGGCATGACAGTAAGAGCCAAAACGTTCCCTACCACTCCTACAAAATAGACAAACGGTCCTCCATAAACGATGATTTCGTTCCTGGCACGTTTAGGGGCTTCGTCTTCCTTGACATTAAAGTAGTCGAGAAGGTCATCAACGCTGAAGGTCGAATTGCTGGTCATATTTAGTGACCTAAGTTTATGAAGATGTATGCCATGTTACAACGCACTTTGAAAAATTACGCACTTTGAAAAAATTTTTCAAAGTGCGTTAATTTTTGGGACCAGGTTAACGCACTTTGAAAAAATTTTTCAAAGTGCGTTGAATTTGGGACCAAATCAACGCACTTTGAAAAATTTTTTCAAAGTGCGTTAAGACTGTACATCATAATTTTACACCATGTAAACATTTAACGCACTTTGAAAAAAATTTCATGAAACAAAAGGAATTAAGACTTATATTTTAGAAATAGACAACAGTATTATCCCCTCGCAATGTATGATGGGACATAATAGTGATGAACTTTCAAGTGATGCACTTTTTATGAAATAATCATAAATATGATAACATGTATCTAATATCTTTTCTCATGTTTTACGCAAATAAATAAAGCATATATAAATTAATAAAATACAATTATTTAGTTTTAAATAGCATTAAAATTGGTGAAAAATAAGCATTTTTTTTTTCTTGTTTTGTCTATAAACATATGCCCCCCCCCCCGGTGAAACACAAAAAGCTTTAGCATAAATTTGTAAAATGACAGTCCATATTACCTGTAAATAAGGAATTTTTGTTTCACGGGGGGGGGGGGGGGAGATGTTTTAAAAATATTTTCAGTTTTCCGTTGATTTCTATAGTGAAAAACACAAGTTTTGCCAAAATTATAGAGTTATCTCTCTTTGGTATCCCAAATAAGTCAAGTTTTATGAAAATTCATATAAATATCTATAAAAATTTTGACAATCATTCCAATATGTTAACTTTTGAGAATTGACTGAGAGATAGGCGGAAGAATAATACTATCGTTCGTAGTTCTTTACGCCCTTGAATGTTGACCTTTTGACCCCAAATTCAAAAGGGGTCTTCCTAAGGCCACAAGGATTCTGTTATGTTAAATTTCATTGCAAAAGCTCAAAGAGTTGTCGAGATATCGTGTGGAAACAAAAGCGTTACAGAAAGATGGATGGACGGACAGCTAGACGGACGGACGGACAGATAGACCCAAATTAATATCCCCCACTTTTCAAGCGGGAGACAAAAAGTATCAAATCAGGTTCAAATGATAATTTATCATACCTGAGATTTGTAGGAATATTGACTAAGCCATGCAGAATTTATCTTTTCAAAGTGCGTTAATATGGTCGATATTAACGCACTTTGAAAAAAAATTTTTTTTTCAAAGTGCGTTAACCTGGTCCCAAAAATTAACGCACTTTGAAAAATTTTTTTCAAAGTGCGTAATTTTTTCAAAGTGCGTTGCCACAATGCCATCCATTTTCAGTTCTTCTGAGCCAAAGGCTCAAAGAGCTAATGCTATGGCCGTTTGTGCGGTGTGCGGTGTGCGTAAACTTTTTAGAATATGGGCCATAACTCAAGAACCCCTTGGTCAATCAGTACCGAATTCGTCACAGGGTATCCTTGGCCCAAGGGCTACCATTTATACTAAAACAAGGGTTGGGACCCTTAAATAAGGGGAGATAATCAGGAAAACAAAACCAAAAGTACTGGTTGCTAAAAAATCTTCTTCTCCATAACCATCAGGCAGATTTTCACCAGACTTACATACAAAGATTAGGATATGTCGAAGATTAAAATTTGCACGGGGAATTACCCTGGGGCAAAGGGCGTGGTCTCAAGGTCACTTCAAAGTTGATCTGAATTTACAATTAATAAAAACGTGTATATTTTGCTTACTATAAGGACTAGGATCATCAATTCTTGTAAGTTGATGCATCTTACGACTTCACATCATGTTAACTCAAAAGTAGGTCACGGTGACCTACTTTTTAAAGTTTGCGGGGATTTGTTTTCAAATTGATTTGAAGGCATATTTTGGACACTTTAAGGCCTAAGATCATCAAACTTTGTCAGTTGATGCATCTTGGGTCTTCAAACAATGTCAACTTAAAAGTAGGTCACCGTGACCTACTTTTTGAACTTTACGACTTATCCTTTTAAAAACATTAAATCCCATTATTTCAGACACTGGGAGGTTCAGAATCATCAAATCTTGTACTTTGATGCATCTTCGGACCTTAAAACATATTTATGAAAAAGTAGGTCACTGTGACCTACTTTTTGAATTTTGCCGACATTTGTTTTCAAATTGTTTAAAACGCATATTTTGATTACATTCAGACCTACGATCATCAAACTTGGTCAGTAGATGCATCTTGGGTCTTTGAAAAATGTCGACCAAAATTAGGTCACGATGACCTACTTTCGACATTTTATGGCTATATTTAAGTATCTTAGGTATTTATTGGCTTAGAATCATCAAACTTTGTGAGTCCATGCATCTTAGGTTTTCGGAGAGTGATGACCTAAAAGTAGGTCACGGTGACCTACTTTTGATATTTTGTGACTATAATTAAGTATCTCTGGTACTTATTGACCTAAAATCATCAAACTTCATCAGTTGATGCATCTTCGGTTTTCGGAGAATGTCGACTAAAAAGTAGGTCACAGTGACTTTCTTTTGACATTTTATGGCTATATTTAAGTATCTCAGGCACTTATTGGCTAAGAATCATCAAACTTTGTCAGTTGAGGCATCTTGTTTTCGGAGAATGTCGACCAAAAAATAGGTCACAGTGACCTACTTTTGAATATCTCAGGTACGTATAAGCTTAGAATCATCAAATTTTGTCAGTTTAGGCACCTTGGGTTTTCGGAGAACGTCGACTAAAAAGTAATTCACTGTGACCTACTTTTGACATTTTATGGCTATATTTAATTATATATCTGGTACTTATTGGCTCGGAATTATCAAACTTTGTCAGTTGAGGCATCTTAGGGTTCATTGAATGTCCAACAAGAAGTAGGTCACGGTGACCTAATTTTGAATATCTCAGGTACTTATTGGCTTAGAATCATCAAATTTTGTCAATTTAGGCATTATGGGTTTTTGAATAACGTCGACCAAAAAGTAGGTCACCGTGACCTACTTTTGACATTTGATGGCTATATTCAATTATCTCTGGTACTAATTGGCTTAGAATCGTCAAACTTTGTCAGATGATGCATCTTGGGTTTTCAGAGAATGTTGACCAAAAAGTAGGTCATGGTGACCTACTTTTGAATATCTCAGGTACTTATTTAATTAGAATCATCAGTCTTTGTCAATTAATGTATCTTGAGTCCTCAGAAAATTTCAATCAAAAGGTAGGTCACTGTGACCTACTTATAGTAATTTACAATTATATTATATCTTCAGTCTTAACTGGCTAAATATTATCAAACTTTGTAAGTTGATGCATTTTGGGTCTTATGATTCTAATAGAGTTGGAGGCTTCTAATAGAAGTGATAGACTGTACAATTTATCAGAAGAGCGATTCAAGGCCCTTGGGCCTCTTGTTTTTAATGAAATTCCTTTTATATTTCAAAATACGTAGTCCTTTTTATGAATGATATGAAACTAATTCACACATCAAATGATGAAATCTTTTTATCTGTGGTTGTTATGATTGAAATTTCTCCTTAAATACTGATATTTTAGATGTGTTAATGAATAGAAAGTTACGTGCTAATTGATTTTTTCATTCATCAGTATATTGAAGACCGTGTTGAATTTAATAAAATAAGAATGAATGGATAACAATATTTGATCTTTCATATAAATAATAAAAATAATACGGAATAATTACCACAATGACGTTAGAAGCACTGCGTGTCTCCAGGGTCGTAGAATCTGCGCCCCCTCCCTCCCTTTTCTAAGTAAATTATTTTGCTATTGTAAATTTCCATTGAGATGCTGGTTGGCCCCACCCCACCTTTTGTTGCTGTATACACTCGCAAATTCCAGAATTTGAGAAAAATGTACAGTTATTTCCTTCTATGAAATAGAGATTTCCGTGTCTGGACAGCTTATAGTTTTAGGGGTTCATGTCTGTCCGTCTGTCATTTTGTCAATATATTATATATATATTAAACAAAATACGATTTACAATTTCATTTCATTTTTTTTGGGGGGGGGACACTTTTAAGAATATAAGGTATTGGCAGCAACATAGTTATTGGTGTTCTTGTTTTCCGAGTGTTCGAAAACAGAAGCATCAGAGACTTTGCATTCACATAAAACCTGTCTTAAAGCTTTTCGGAATTTTCTTGAACTGGCAACATATAAATAGAAGTTAATAGCATGATTCGTAAACATGAGGAGTTCAGCAAAAGAAAACATTTTGTTGAACAGCTGACGATTAATATCTAGAGGATGCGAGAGTGTGTTCAACACCGCTGTCACACAAAGCATGCAGACCATGGGAAATGTCGTTATGACGAAAGTTAGGGACAAAATCACCATCATCACTGTCAATTTTCTTCTGACATTAGTCTTTTTTGTCAAGAAAGCCTTTACAGTTGCCAAGGAAATGTTACGTTGGGAATTTCTCTTCATTCCTCGAATTTTACGTATAATTTTATAGTTGAAGATTCCAGTACTTAGAAATGGAATGACGAAGTACACCATCAAGTCCACACAAGGCCAAATAAGGGTGATGTCTTTCTGTTGACCGCAGACGGTAGAATTATTTCCGTCCGGAATTAGGCCAATTGTCCAGAATATGTGAAGGTTTATCAAAAAGATGAAGACGAGAATAAAGATAATGACTAACAACGCCTGTCGGATCCGGCAAAGAGAGGTGGCCTTTAGTGGATGGCACATTGTCATGAACCGCTCGAAAGTGACCGCCACTACCAACCAAACGGAGGAATCACTGCAGACGTAGCCAAGAAAGGTTAGAGTCTTACACGAGAAATTGGACTGGGAGTGAAGGTCAATTTCTAAAATCTCTCGAAGCCAGTTGACTAATAGACCAAGATGGAGAACGCACAGGTCCAGTATACACAAAACCAAGAGGTACATGTAGGTGGACACACGGCGCGCAAAATGTGGCATGACAGTGAGAGCCAAAACGTTCCCTACCACTCCTACAAGATAGACAAACGGTCCTCCATAAACGATGATTTCGTTCCTGGCACGTTTGGGGGCTTCTTCTTCCTTGACATTAAAATAGTCAAGAAGGTCATCAACACTGAAGGTCGTATTGCTGGTCATATTTAGTGACCTAAGTATATGAAGATGTATGCCATCCATTTTTTAAAAATGAGATCTCCTTTATTTCAAAATAGTCCTTTTTATGAATGGTATGAAATTAATTCACACATCAAATGATGAAATCTTTTTATCTATGGTTGTAATGTTTGAAATTTCTCCTTAAATACTGATATTTTACATGTGTTAATGAATAGAAAGTTAGGTGCTAATTGATTTTTTCATTCATCAGTATATTGAAGACCGTGTTGAATTTGATAAAATAAGAATGAATGGATAACAATATTTGATCTTTCATATAAATAATAAAAATAATACGGAATAATTACCGCAATGACGTTAGAAGCACTGCGTGTCTCCAGGGTCGTAGAATCTGCGCCCCCTCCCTCCCTTTTCTAAGTAAATTATTTTGCTTTTGTAAATTTCCATTGAGATGCTGGTTGGCCCCACCCCACTTTTTGTTGCTGTATACACTGGAAAATTCCAGAATTTGAGAAAAATGCTCAAAATTATCACCTACTGTGAAATAGAGATTTCCGTGTCTGGACAGTTTAGTTTTAGGGGTTCATGTCTGTCCGTCTGTCTTTTTGTCTAACTGTTTGTCTAGCTGTTTTGTCTGCAAAATTTAATTTTACTTATGTAACTTTCGATTGGTTGAAGGTGTGGCTTCCATGTTTCAACTGTGTATTCCTTATGACAAGACTTTTTTGGTACCAAATATTTCACCCCTTGATCTTGGAGTTTGACCCCTTTTATAAACTCTTGAACTTTTTAGAACTATGTTAGAATTCTTGACCCCGGAGATTGACCCAATATCATAGAAAACTTACCTTTACATTAAACTTGGCCATAACTTTTGAATAGTTAGTGCTAGGGCTTTCATGCTTCACGTGTTTATTCAATGTCTTTTCTTTTTACAGACATAAATATT